ACCGTATCGAACCTCATCCGCCCCCTCGTCATCTCATCACCTCATGTGGAGTGGAGGCATACATACATCCAGCATCAACGAACCTCGACTAGCTTCAAAAGACTCAATGTAACATAAGTTACTACTTGTTTCCTGCCACATGTTACCACCACACCCACCCTAAGCTAACCTCGCGAACTTTCAACATTAACCTCGTCAGTCCCTATCCCCCTCTGCCCGCTTGGCACGTTACTGTGTTGGCAGTGCTTTGGCTTCAAACGGCTTGACAGAGTTCACAGCCACCAATCTTCCCTCAAGCCTCACGCTCTTGTGAGATTCCCTTGCCAGCTGTTCCGCACTCACACACCCAGCCCTTGTTGCGCCCCGTGTTCTGCATCCTGTTTGAAGAAGTGTTTTGAGACGTCTCAAAACGCCCCGTGTTCTGCATCCTGTTTGAAGAAGTGTTTTGAGACGTCTCAAAACGCCCCGTGTTCTGCATCCTGTTTGAAGAAGTGTTTTGAGACGTCTCAAAACGCCCCGTGTTCTGCATCCTGTTTGAAGAAGTGTTTTGAGACGTCTCAAAACGCCCCGTGTTCTGCATCCTGTTTGAAGAAGTGTTTTGAGACGTCTCAAAACGCCCCGTGTTCTGCATCCTGTTTGAAGAAGTGTTTTGAGACGTCTCAAAACGCCCCGTGTTCTGCATCCTGTTTGAAGAAGTGTTTTGAGACGTCTCAAAACGCCCCGTGTTCTGCATCCTGTTTGAAGAAGTGTTTTGAGACGTCTCAAAACGCCCCGTGTTCTGCATCCTGCATGCTAGCCTTTCCTTCAAATCACAGTCACATGGCGGCTGAACTGATCTCATGCCTGCCACACGGCAGGATCCCTGACTGAAGCTCTCTCTGTCTTATTTGCACATGCATGTGTGTGTGTGCCGGGGTGGAACTGGATGGGGTTCGGTGGGAGGGTGGGTGGACCGTGATGGAAGTAATTCGCGTGGAGAGTTCGGTTGAATGGGTGGGTGCGTGAGTGAGTGGGGATTGGGCGAGGAACGCGGCCCGCGGGGTGTGTGTGTGTGTGTGTGTGTGTGTGCGTGCGTGCATGTGCTACAGGGGCTTGGCAAACAACAAGTTCAGTCACTCCATTCCAGCGGACATCGGGAGGTTGTCCCTCCTCACCTTCCTGTGAGACCACACCACCGCCCTTGTTGTTCCGCTCACCTGACCCACACTCCTTCCTGTGTAACGTGCCATTGCATTGCGTCCGAATTCTCTGCGGCATCTATCACCCTCTCCCTGTGCTGGCAAGTCTTTCTTAAAGTGGTGTGTATGTCTTCTCTCTCACCTGCTTCCCCTTGACGCCCCTCTATCCTCCTCCTCCTCACGCTCGTGGTCTGGTCATGTGGATGGCCTGGCTGTGTGTGTGTGTGTGTGTGTGTGTGTGTGTGTGTGTGTGGCATGTCAGGAACTTGAGTTCGAACAGCATGACTGACTCTATTCCGAGCAGCATTGGTCAACTTACCAGCCTTCAGGAATTGTATGGTGACATGTCTGCTGCTCATGCAAGGCCCATACATGAACCCCTCACCTCCCCCACCCTTCTTTTCATTTTCCCGTCATGCAGTCATCTTCTGAAACACTTTCTCCTATGTCTGCTGCTCATGCACGGAGCGCGGGCGCTTTCTCTCTCCAGATCGCCGATTCTTTCTCTTGCGTCTCTGCTGTAGCAAGGATCGTGCGTGTCGTGTCGATTGAGAGTATGGAGTGCATCCAAGCAAGCCAAGGGTTAGCACAGAGTAGAGAAGAGTGGTTGGGTTGGGTTGGGCTGGGTTGGGAACTGGCAGACAGGACTGCAGGAGAAGCAACAACACTCTGTTGACTTTTTTTTTTCGTCTCTGCTCATGCTTGCTGCTCCTGTCCTGTGGTCGCAGCCTTCTGCAGAACAACAATCTTTCTGGAACCATCCCCGAGCGCATCGGAAGTCTCAGAAAGCTAGAGCGATTGTAAGCAAGCACGCTACATCCATGCAAACTCCGCGGAAGGAGTGCATGTGCCTGCTCTGACTCGTATCAGCTGTTTAGTATGTGTCTATGTCTGCATGAGCTGAGTGAATACTTTCTGGTATGTATCTATCTCTGCGTGACTCTAGCTGCTTCTTGCATTTTTCTGTGGCAAGGTTTCGTGAGGCGCCCTTCTTTGCCGGTGTTTCTGATCCCCACATTACTCGCTTCAACCCGTCGCCTCTCTCCTTCCCATGCCCCCCTCTGCCCTCAGAGACCAACCCTCAGAAACCTTATAAGAAACCAGCTGTCAGGATTCTTCTCTCCGCACTTTTGAGATGCCTTAAAAAAGTCCGACCATTCACTTCACCCCATGCTCTCCCTCCCATGCTCCTGTGTGTGTGCCCGCAGGGACCTGTCAAACAACCAGCTGTCAGGACCCATCCCACCGCAGCTCTCCAAGCTTGACCAACTCACCCACCTGTAAGGCACTGCAGAGGCAGCAGAATCAGGGAGGAAGCAACGGAGTCGTCAAAACCCACTTGTAGGGTGTGGGGGATGGGCATGGTGTGAACACTGCACTCGTGCTGGCTCTTCCCTTGTACCAGTGGGATCGACTCTTTCTCTTTCCTCCTTGCTGCCGTGGTGACACTCTCACCCCCGTCTCATGCTGTGCTCCCATTTTTTCTCCGCCTCCTTCTCCTCCTCCTCCACCCCCCCTCCTCCTCCTCTTCCTCCTCCTCCTCCTCCTCCTCCTCCTCCTCCTCCTCCTCCTCCTCCTCCTCCTCCTCTCCCTCCTCCTCCTCCTCCTCCTCCTCCTCCTCCTCCTCCTCCTCCTCCTCCTCCTCCTCCTCCTCCTCCTCCTCCTCCTCCTCCTCCTCCCCCTCCTCCTCTCCGTCTCCTCCTCCCCCGCCACCGCCTCGTCATGCTGTGGCATGTCAGGGATTTGGCAGGCAACAACAACATAGATCGAGCTATTCCAAGCGAAATGAGTGTTCTGGGTCAGCGCTTGGAATTGTAAGCCCACATGCCTGCCTGCTCACACTTACCCACTTGAACACACCTACACCCTACCGACAGCACCACTCCACCGAACCTTTCATACACCTTCAACCTGCCACTCAAGCTGTTTAACCGCCCCGCGTGCGCGCTTCCTCCCTTTGATGCATCCACGATATTCAACTGTGAACTCTGGCCACCCTACTCATATGCTGCCTTGTCCACCCCATTCCAGCCCAGCCCAGCCCAGCCCAGTCCTGCATGTCACGATGCCATCTCCCCATGCTCCCCAGTCCGTCTCGTTCCATCCCCTCTCTCTCCTCCCCTGCGTGCACTGCGTCGTGCTCCTCCTGCTCTCCCTTGCAGCATCCTCCCAGGCATCTTCTGCCCGTCATCAGGCCAATTCTACGTGTGTGAAACTGCGGACTCCATCTGTCGCTGCACACTGGGTTCTGGTAAGCCGCAGCCGCAGCCGCAGCCGCAGCCACAGCTGCAGCTGCAGCCGCAGCTGCACGGAAGCAACCGGAAACTGGTTCGATTCCACTTGTGTGTCTCGTCCCGTTGCTACCCTGCGTTGAAACCGTCCGTCCTGTGCCCGGTGTGTTATGTAGGTCTGTGTTGAGACTTTTGAGACGTCCCTTATGAGGCATCTCTTTTGAGACGTCCCGTTGCTATCCTGCATTTGGAGGCTGTCTGGCCGGTGCCTGGTCTGTTATTTAGGTCTGTTATGTGTTGAGGCTCTCCAGTTTTTACCTGGTGTTTTGTGTCTCTAGGCCACATATCAAGCGTCTTTCCACCTTCTCTCTGTTTTTGCGTGACCCGCTCTTTCCCTTACTGACTCACTACACTTGTGCCTTCTCCCACCCGCATCTGCACCATCGCCCCACTATCTACCCGTTCCCATTATCGAAACCTCCTACATGTATCCCTTCACCAGATGCACCCCCACCGCCATCAACACCACCACCACCACCACCACCATCCGAAACACCGCCATCCGGCCCAACATCAGCCCCTCCGCCACCATCCTCGCCCCTGCCTAACGAAACACCCTCGTCCGACACGCAATCCCCTCCCTCCTCCTCGTCGTCCTCCTCTCTTTCCACCGCCGCCATTGCCGGAATTGCCGTTGGTGCTGCGTGCGCGGTGGCGGCGCTGGTGGCGCTGCTGCTGCTTGTTGCGTGGCGCTACTGCGGCACTGCCCGTGCTGCTGGTGAGTGCAGGAGTGGGATCTAGGATGGGAATGGATGGCATGCTATGGGTGGCGTAGGTGGCATGGGTGGCATGGGTGGCATGCGTGGTACACAAGGGACAGGTGGTATGCGGGTGGTGGTGTGGGCAGGGCGCAGCTCCACCACTGGTAAAGCTTTGCTGTGCTGCAACGGAAAGAATGGGGGTAGGGTATGCATATAGGATGATGGCGCTCCTCACCCCTCGCACCTCCTCCCCACGCCCCCCACTCCTCCTCTTCCTCCCCCTGCCACCCTAGTGGCGGTGCGGTGCGGGCATCCACGCCAGGGGCAGGGTTCAGGGAGTTCACATTGGACGAGGTGCGGGAAGCCAGCCACCACCACGGACAACTTTTGAGGCGCTGCAAAACAACCCCCCCCAACCCCCGTTTTCCTCCTCTTTCCCCTTCCACTAGTGGCGGTGCGCGCATCAACCCCCGGGGCACCATTCAGGGAGTTCACATTGGACGAGGTGCGGGCAGCGACGGACAACTGGGCGGAGGCGAACAGCCTGGGGGCGCGCGGGTTCAACGACGTGTACAAGGGCGTGGACCCCTATAATGAGGGGCTCGTTCTCACTGTCAGCCGCGCCCGCGTCCTCGCTAATAACTTTAAGAAAGCGGTGCGTGCACAGGGAAACTGTGGAAGTGGTTTGTTTGTTTGTTTGTTTGTTTGTTTGTTTGTTTGTTCGTTGGTTGTTTGTTCGTGTTTGTTTGTTTTTCGTCTGAATCTGCTGCTCAGCTTTTTGTTTCCTCTGCTTTGCATTTGGCATGGCGCGGCACGGAACGGCATGGCAGGTGGAGCGCATGGGGGGAGTGCGGCACCCGAACGTGGTGCGGCTGGTGGGGTTCTGCATGGAAATGACGCCCACTGCGCTGGAGCAGGTCACCCTCTACCCGCTCTTCCCCCACGGCGACCTCGAGAAACGCCTCAGGCCAGGTAGGAGGGCAGCTAGATGGGCCTTGAGAGCAGCGCATACAGCCAGGTGGGCGGTCGTATGGGGAACCTGAGAAAAAAGAACCAGTCCCAAGAGCCAGAGCAACCTTCACTTGGTCAAGTTTGTTTGCCCAAGAGTCACGTCACACATGAGGGGTCTCAAAAGTGACAGGCACAGCTCCTCCAACCCAGCAGTCACACGCACCCCCCAAGAAATCCTCCTCACGCCCTGCTGCCATGTCTGCCATTACTCCCTCTATGCCCTGCCCCCAGGCGCACAGGCGCCCCTGAGCGTGGGCGAGAGGGTGGGCATTCTGGCGGGCGTGGCGAGGGGGCTGGAGTGTCTGCATGCGAGCGGGATTGTGCATCGCGATGTGAAACCCTCCAACGTCCTGCTCGACCAACACCTGCAGGTCTGCACTCCCACTCCATTCCCCTCGATCCCACGCTATCCTGCTTCAAGAAGGCTTAATTTTTTTTGCACAGGGTCCTAGCTTGTTTCCATGCCTTCTTGCCGCGTGTGTGGAGTTGATGTGCTGTGATGTGCTGTGACGTGATGTGACTTATTGTGATGTAATCATGGACTGATTTCTGGCAATTTCCTCTCCTCCTGTCTTCGTCTTGCTTACAGCCTCAACTAGCTGACGCTGGGTTTGTGAGGGTGGTGGAGAGCGGTGGGGAGGATGGTGCGAGAGTGGTGGGCACGCCAGGCTATGTGGATCCCTCCTATGCCAAGACACACGTCGCAACTCCTCAGTCTGATGTATACAGGTATGTCCCCAAATCCAGCCTAACATGCGTGAGCCTCTCGATTGCTACAGTGCATGCTCCCCCGTATGTGCGTGAGCCTCCTCGTATGACACCATTCTCTCTCCCCTTCTTCCACTCCCCCGACTTTCTATTTGCCTCTCAGTTTCGGTGTGGTGATGCTGGAGGTGCTGACAGGTCGCAGGGCCATCCTCGTGGTCACTGACCGCCAGATGTCAATCAGTCAGTGGGTGAGTCGACTCTTCCTCCCGCTTCCCCTAGACTCTTGCTCCCTCTTCCTACATCACATGCGCTACTCGCTGCCTTCACGTGCTCGATCACCCCAGCTTCTTTCTACATAGCCCGAAGGGCCCCAGGCATTCTTACCCCCTGGTAGCCCAACTTCTACAGCACCTCCTCCCACCCAGCCCGCCACTCCTTCTCACCCTCCCACATTTCTGTACTATCCATCCCCATTCTTCCATCTCCCATACCCAACAGCAACCCCTCCAACTCCCACATCCCCTCTTTCCCTCCCTCCTGTCCTGTCCTGTCCCCCTTCCTCCACAGGCGTCCCAGCACGTGGATGCGAACGACATAGCGGCTTTAAGGGACCCCGAGATGCCCATCGCATACGACATGCTGCGCCGCCTGGTCTCGCTCGCGCTCTCCTGCACCACCACACTGCCATCCATGCGCCCGCGTCTCTCTCACGTGCGCGAGCAGCTGGAGGCCATAAGGCGGTCCCTGCCACCGGCAGCCCCAACACAACCCCCCCCTGCTGCTGCTCCTGCCGATGCTCCCCTGCAGGGAGACCTGGAGCAGGGGTTGCTGGATGAACCATAAGGGGGGAGGGAGGGTGGGGGCGGGGGGGAAGAGTGGAGAGGACTTCGGGAAGATGTAGTTAGAGTGAGAATAATGTACCGTAGATGTACAGGGGAGAGATTTGGATGATCAAGTTTTCATAAAAGCGTTGGTGTGGTGTGCAATTGATATCCAGCTTGTGGGTTCATTTCTATGTAAATTTCCGTATGTCCAACTCAATATGGGTGTACCCCTTTGATGTATGTACCGTGACTTACCGAGTTAGGTACACCTTGTTTGTCTTGACAGTTGCGCAGGTTGCATAAACACCAAGAATCGCAGGGGTGTATCTATCAGCGAATAAACTCTATCTTGGTCAACGAAGCGCTTCAGGCACACCCACGCAACAACCACACCACACCCCCGCAGCCACGATCCGTGCGGCACAGCCATTGGCTGAATAAAAACGGTGGCCTCAGGCCTCTCGTATCCCGTGAGGAGTTGGAGAGGACAAGAGTTTTTTCTTTTCTTTTATCTTTTCCACTTGTATCTGGATTTCGCGATTTGTAGTTGGATTTGGGAGAGGTGTGTAGCACACTACCCCGCCATTTTCCCACACCGTGTCTCTCGATACCCTTGAGAACTCGGCCGTAAAACCACAGTTTCTAAGCGGCGTTCGGAAGTCATTTCGAAAGCTTCTCAATCTTTGTTTCATCGTTGAACTATCATGTCGCAACCTATGGAGCCATTTAGCTTCAAAACTGAAACAATCGTTGCCTTAGTACTGCAAAGCGCCACCCACCCAGACTGCTTAAAACCAGCCATGTATCAGCAAGCACAAAACGTACTGTAAATCCTGAATCAGGGAGGGTGGGTCCGTGGGAGCCTTTGCAGCGGGAGGATTGTGGAAAAACAACCCGGCCCATTTTGACGCCAGGCTATTATATACCCCCAGTAACCAAAAACGACACTCGCCCTCGTCCATGTTGCACCTCCAGCCAATCCCTTTCTGTCTCATGACACATCCCTCCCTCCCACCTACACGCACACCCGAACCACCCAGCCCGAGGGTGCTTCGATATCCACTCCCGAGGGTACAGAACAACATCACCGCATACCGACTGAGGCCATGTCCGAGCGAGCAACGCTCATCACTAGACGCTTTTCGAGAGCCCTTTCTTCGGAATGTAGACGCCCGGGAGAAGGTGTGAATGGGCAGAAGATGGCGTGGGACGCGCGCGGATGGCGGGATTTTGCCGTAGATTACCAAGGTTTTCTTGCTTTGCGCGCGCGCGCCGCGGCGCTGGTGTTGTTGGTAGCGACAACGGCGCCTCTTGCGCACGCCCGTGGCGCAGTTCCGTTACAGGCGTCCCAAGGTGGGGGATTGTGCAGTGGTGCTGTGCAGTAACGTGCTGTGTGGATTGCAACCGCCGCGGTCGTTTGCCATCGGCAGATCATGGCCTCACACCCCATCCCCATATTGAGACCGTTACCATCACGCGTGATTCGTCGGCTGTGCGTTGCACAGTCTGCCGCGCTTCCCGCGTTGCCCGAGCTGGCCGCATTGCTCGCAATTCGCAGTAATTTGTCCGCAATTGCCGTCGTTGCCGCGTTTCCCGCGTTGTGTGGCAGCGGCGGTGCTGCAGGAGTGCGAGGCGGCGTGGAACAGGACCTTTAGCGGGTGGACGGCAGGCGCGGACTGCGTGATGGCTGAGGGGATCACGTGCAATGCAGAGGGAATGGTCGACAGCATGTGAGGCACACTCTGTACCCGCGTTCGCGGCACCAGTTGCTGCCTGCTGCCTGCTGTGCACTGTGCGCTGTGTGCTGCGTCGGCTGCGTCATGTGTTCTGCGTCCTGTGTGTTGCGTATTTGTGCGCTGTGCGCTGTGCTGTGTGCTATGCTGCGATTTTTCGTTTCGACTTTGGCACCCTTGAGCCCACTTACGCGCTCTCTCCCTTTTCCAGAGTTGCGCATGCCCTCAGGTAATTAAACGGCCCAGGCGAAGGGTATGTTTCCACTGCTATCGCGTGAATGCATATTCTTCCTCCTTGCGAGTAGCAGCCGCCCTTACCGCCCAACCCGGGGGTGCTCAGCAGCAGGCGAGCGGGTCCTGGTGGGGAACAGGATCGATGACCGTGGTGTCACGTGGTGTCACGTGGTGTCACGTGGTGTACGTGACATCGTTACTTCCCCGATGCCACGTGATAAAAGAAGTATTTTGAGATGTCTCAGAACAAATTTTCTATCACGAAGCCGGATTGGTGGTGACCGCGATGACACATCCATACTTCCCCAGTGTGAAGATGACGGAAGGCGACATCCGCATGTTATTGGTTCTCAACCGGGGGGGGGGGAGGGGGAGGTAAATTTTGGTGTCCTTGTGGACTGTGAAGCCCGCTTCCGTCCGAATACGTGCGCATTCGTCCCATAATTTTGGTGTCCTTGTGGTGAGTGAATACCTCTTCTGCCCCTGCACTTCTCACTGCGCATGAGATGAGATGGCTGGGAAGGCGGGTGTCCGAGAAGGTGGTAGCATACCTTCGGCCGTCACAGCGGCGCGGAGCTGGGAGGGGGAGGCCCAGGCGAAAGGCGGATGCCGTCGAAGCGAAGGGCGCGGCGCGGTACCGGGTCGTACGTAACGCCGGAGAGAGCGGCAGCGCCATTAGCCACTCCCCCGCGCCCGGCCCGACCACGGACTCCAGGCGCTGGGTATGGCCGAGCAGTGGGCTGGGCTGGGTTGGGAGTCATGCGCCGGGAGTCCTCTAGTACTAGAGTAGAGTGATATAGCAGCGTGCTGAGTTGACTGCTTGCAGGGGTTAGCGGGACAGGGCTCTCTGGAGCTTGGGGGGCCGTCCGTCCATGACCCAGCGACCAGCCTCCAGTGCCGGCTGCGCCGCGCCTCAGGCTCGGCTGGGAGTCGGTCGAGAGCCTCCGCTGCTGCCAAGCAGTTAGGTACGGTCTGGTTGGAGGCGGTGTGCGTGTGCGTGCCATGCATGAGTGGTAGGAGATCCGCTACTGCCGTGTGTAGTAGTAGTACCCCGTCCAGGGGTCTAGTTTTGAGGCGCCTCAAAACTACCCGCCGGTTGAGGGGCTGAAGGCCGCAGCAGACAGATGAGAAGGGGAGATGACTGACTCATCTCCAGGTAAGCGTGGCTGCCCCCCAAGGCTGGGTTTGTGAGGCCCAACCCAGCCCTCTCAAGGTTAGCGATGCCTGCCCCCAGATGCTCTTCAATGGTCCTTCATTTGTAAGGTTGGGTGATGCAGCAGGGACGGTTTATATAGTGTATATAGAGGACAGAGATGCATATGGTAAGCTGCCAGCTAGACTACCAACCTACCCTGCGCCCCTACAGCGGCCCGCCCGCTTTCTCCCTCCCCCCCCCAACACACACACACCCTGTACGCTATGCACAATGAATGGCCTCTATGGCACTCTTCTCCCACCCTTTGAGAATTCTCAGAAGCAGCACGTCTCATCGTCTGCCGGCCCACGGGCATCCCCTTGTGCTTGTGCTTCAATTCCCACAATGGTCGCAGAGCCATCGGGATCTTACATTTGAACGGCACCATCCCCACCAGCATCGTCACCCTCACAGCCCTCACGTACATGTGCGTTTCACTCTGGCAACCCTCTCCCCGTGCTTTGAGTTGAGACGTTGCAAGGCTCGTTGCACTCAGTTCATTGCGATTCTTGCCATGCATTATGGAGAGCAAGAGGGTCGAGGGACTTGAATGGATAGATTGCAGTGCAGTGCAGCGTGCTGCTGTATAGTGCAGAGTGGTGCAGTGCGGTTTCGTGTGGAGCAGAGCTGGCAGGGAGGATGGCGATGAAATGAAAGATACGGGGCTTGTGTCTTTCTTAATCACATTCGCTGCGGCTTTTATTTATAACCCAGTGTCACCCTCTCTGCTCTCTACCCACTGCTCACTGCACTCTGCACTCTGCACTCTGCCCTCTGCCTTCTGCCCTCTGCCCTCTGCCTTCTGCCCTCTGCCCTTTATCCCTGCAGTGATCTCTCCATGAATTATTTCTCTGGACCCATCCCCTCTGCTCTCTCACGGCTCTCCCTGCTCGCTAACCTGTGAGCATCTCTCTCCACTCCTCAGTATCTTTTCAGTCGCAAAACTGTTAAGCTATGATGGAATGTTCTACGGAGTCTCATGGAAATGAAGCTGACGCCTTTGCCCCGTTCTGTTTTGCCATATGCCCCCCTAGTCATAATTCGAGAAGTTGCTGCCTCTAACTAACCTCCTGACGAACCCATTCATCAATGTCACACGCCACATGTCACACGGCAAATGTCACATGCCGCGCGTTACACGTCACATGTCGCATACATACATGTCTCATCGCGTCTCAACCATGCCGCACGTCACATGTCACATGCCACGTGGCAGGAACCTTGGTGACACCAGGATTTCTGGACCCATTCCCTCCACCGTCGGATCACTCAAGAACCTCAATACTCTGTAACTTTGCACGAGTGCTGTTGTGTGTGGGCGTTTTTCCAAGGCGCCTAAAAAGCCACCTCACTCTGCTTGCACAAGTGCTGTTGTGTGTGTGCGCTGCTGCTGAGGTGTGCTGCCATGCATGTATGTGATCCATGCCTTTTTTGTTTCTGTTGACTTTTGAGTCGACTAAAAAGTCACCTTGCTGCTGAGGTGTGCTGCCATGCATGTATGTGATCTATGCCTTTTTTTTTTTTTTTTTGGTTAGTTTGTTTGCTTGCTTTTCTTTCTCTCCTCCATTCCTCCACCCCCTCCTCTCTCCCTGCTCTACACCTCCTATGGCCCTTGTCAGGTTGATAGCCAACACCAGCATCTCAGGAGCCATCCCCTCCACCATCTCCGCCCTCTCCGCTCTCACCTTCTTGTCAGCGCCGTGCCCTCCCTATCTCCCATCCATCCCTAACGTGACGGTTTTGCGTCGTGCCTAAACCTGCCTCTGGATTCTTCTCTGCCGGTTGTGCTGCCACGCAGCCATTGTGACATTGGCCTCTCATGTTACAGAACGAACTTCGAATTATATGACTGGTTAGCATAACAAACAGGGGACAAGAAAGATGGGATGGCAGTCCCAACCAACCGAATCAGGTCGCGATAACAAGCCTGCACACTACTAGTTCATTATAATATGATCCACACATATTAAACCCTTCCGGTAATTCTTGCTTGCCTCCTTCTCCTCCTCCTCCTCCTCCTCCTCCTCCTCCTCCTCCTCCTCCTCCTCCTCCTCCTCCTCCTCCTCCTCCTCCTCCTCCTCCTCCTCCTCCTCCTCCTCCTCCTCCCTCCTCCTCATCCTCCTCCTCCTCCTCCTCCTCCTCCTCCTCCTCCTCCTCCTCCTCCTCCTCCTCCTCCTCCTCCTCCTCCTCCTCCTCCTCCTCCTCCTCCTCCACCTCCGCGGTAGCATCACACAGAGAGTCTCTGGTCTTAAACCGACCATTGGATAGTCCCACCAATCGCATGCCTTGTTGTCTGCTTTCCCCATTTCCTACTTCCTACTACCCTGACAATGCATTGCATACCAGCCATGCGGCCTACACTCGCCTCAGTGGCACAATCCCCAGCACCATTGGTCAACTTGCCAGCCTCGAGTACTTGTATGTTGAAGTGGGTTTGTGACCATGCGAGGTGATCGACACACACATGCACACGCATGCACACACATGCACACACATGCACACACATGCACACACATGCACACACATGCACACACATGCACACACATGCACACACATGCACACACATGCACACACATGCACACACATGCACACACATGCACACACATGCACACACATGCACACATGCACACACACATGCACACGCACGCGCACGCGCACACACAGACACAGACACAGACACAGACACAGACACAGACACACACACACACACACACACACACCCACACACACACGCACGCACGCACGCACACACACACACACACACACACACACACACACACACACACATGCACACACACACATGCATGCACGCACGCATGCGCTCACGCACGCACGGGGATAATTGTATCCGTACAACACGACGTGTAAACCTCACCTCGGAAGCACCCCTGCTCAAGCCCTTCCCTTTTCCTCCATACCGCCCTTTTTTCCAGGCAACTAGGAAAGTTCAGAAACTACTACTACTTATCTCCACATCTACCTTTCGATCCATTCACCACTTTATGTTCAATTCTCTTATCAGGATGCCATATTGATTCATCCTCAGCCCACCTGCTCATCCCATGTGCCTGTCCTGTTCCTTCTGCCGCTCACCCCACAACCGCCTATTGCAGGAACGTCGCCAACTCCAACTTGTCTGGGTCGCTGCCAGCCTCCCTTGGTGCTCTCCCCAAACTCCGTCAAGTGTCAGTCCCCTGCATTCCATCACCCCCATCACTCCATCTCTCTCCTCACTCCATCACCCCTTTTACTTCTGAGTCAACTCAAAAGTCACTTTTGAGTCGACTCAAAAGTCACATCACCCCTTTTACTTCACTCCCATCACCATCGGTGAGCTTCTACTACTCTCTCCTCCTTTTTTATAGGTCGAATACCTGCCACCTCGGTTGCTTAGTTTCTCAGTTTTAACTCCGTCCGTGCCTGCACGAATGCCACATTTGGTCCTCTCTCTATCAGAACGAGCTGAACAGAACAGAACCACGAGCGCACAGCGTACGTTACCAAAGGAAGATCACCAACGTGGATGGAAACATGTTCCTTCGTGTACAATTTTTTTGCCATTCCTGCCTTTGTTGATTCTCTGCAAAGCTTCACACTTTTTCCTACTCCCCTGCTGCCGACTCCCCTTGCTCAGAGGCATCTCTGCAGGCGTGACATGCGGCAGTGCTGGCAGCAGCTGTGGGATTCAGCAGAATGCCTCCTCCTTCTTCTGCCGAGTTCTCTGTTTTGAGTTCTGTGCCTCGTGCATCCCACTCAACGGTGCGAAAGTGATTCTTTGCCTTTCTGCTTGCACGAGTTCAAATTTAGAAGGCTCTCATGTCCCTCCGTGCCCGTTCGTGACGTTTTCTGATAGCCGCCTCCCTTGCCTCCATGTGATATCCACCTTTTCACCTGACAGTCATATTGCCACCTGACAATCATATTGCCACCTGACAATCATATTGCCACCTGACAATCATATTGCCACCTGACAATCATATTGCCACCTGACAATCATATTGCCACCTGACAATCATATTGCCACCTGACGATCATATTGCCACCTGACGATCATATTGCCACCTGACAATCATATTGCCACCTGACAATTATATTGCCACCTGACAGCCAACATTGGCATCACAGCTCGCCATCACATCAGCCTCTCTCGCCCTTCACAATCCCTCCACGCCCCACTTCCCTTCCCACCTTCTCTCCCAACAGGCCAACGCCGCCACCCTCCTCCCCCACCACCCCTCTCACCTCCTCTCCCTCCCAGCCTCGCTCTCCTAAGCCCCTCCCCTCCTCCTCTGTCCTCTCTTCTTGTCTCCTCTCCACTCGCCCCTCCTCCTGCTCCTCCACCCTACACCGGTTTGCCAACCTCTGCAATCGTGGGGATATCCTTGGGAGCGTTTTTTCTGCTTGTGGCTGCTGCTGCTGCTGCTGCTGTCGTGGCTGCTGCGTGTGTGAGCCGGGGAGATGAGGAATCAAAACTGCAGCCACTTCTAGCTTCCTCAGGTAAGAGCAAGTTCAGTAGTATGCCATGACTGTAAGAGGTATGTGTGTGACACTCAGGGGTATGTGCTGTACCACTTGTGGAGCCTCATCCACGGAAGGGGTGGTCTGGTAGCCGTTCGTTCCGTTTGTTCCGTTCGTTCGTGCTGCTGTCTCCTTCCTTGTAACATGCATCCCCTGTCCGTCACAGTTGTCAGTCTTTCTTGTCATCTACCATCATCCGCTTGATTATCTACAACCCACTGCTGCCTCCCCTTCCACTGCGGCTGCTGCTGCTGCAACTGTCACCGCCACTGCTGCTTCTTCTGCTGCTGCAGCTTCCTCTGCTGTTAACACTGCAACGGTATCAAGTTCCCCGTCATCTCACTTTCCATCCTCCTTTCACAACCCCATATTCCCTCTCTCCTCTCTTTCCCCTTTTATCTCCCTGCTCCAGCATCCCGAGTCTTCGGTCACGCCCGCTGCCCAAAGTTCCCCGTGTCTCGTGTGGCACAAGCAACGGGTTGTTGGAGTGAGATTAACAGGGTGGAGAAACAGGGGTGGACCAGCATCAGCAGCAACGCCACCACCAGCAGCATTATTGCCAGCAGCAGCAGTGGAGGGCAGAGGTACAAGGCAGTGAGTCCTCTCGATTCACGCCAGGTGTGGTTCGTTGTGAGGCGTGGCAACGACGAGCTTTCTAAAGACTTCCAGAAAGAGGTGAGAGAGCTGCGGATAGTTCTTCTCCGCCCTGCTGCTGCCGCTGTCGCTGCCATTGGTGCCACCGCCACCTCCGCGGCGGCTGCTGCTGCTGCTGCTGCTGCTGCTGCTGCTGCTGCTGCTGCTGCTGCTGCTGCTGCTGCTGCTGCTCTGCTGCTGCTGCTGCTGCTGCTGCTGCTGCTGCTGCTGCTGCTGCTGCTGCTGCTGCTGCTGCTGCTTCTGCTGCTGCTTCTGCTGCTGCTTCTGTTGCTGGCGCTGCCGCCGCCGCCGCTGCTGTTGCTGCTGCTGCTGCTTCTGCCGCTGCCAATGGAGCTGCTGCTGCCGTGGCCGGTGGGTGCCAATGCTAGTAGGGGTTCCACAACTTGCCCTTTTATATCCCCCTATTGTGGCTCTTTCCTTTCCTGTTCAGGTGGCCACGCTTTGGTCCATCCGCCATTCCAACCTGCAGCGACTGCTGGGGTACTGTTGGGAGAAGCCTGGCAGTGCAGACAGCACTAAGAGTACCTGTGTTGAGAGTGTTGGTGCTTCTTCTTCTTCTGCTGCTGCTGCTGCTGCTGCTGCTGCTGCCGTTCATGCGGTGGAGCAAGCAGAGGAGCAGGTGCTAGTGTTTGAGTGGGTGCCAGGAGGCAACCTGCACAGCCGCCTCATTGCAGGTACAATTGCTCACACACACAAAGACAAACACACACACACACACACACACAGACCCCTCCCCCCCCCCCCCCCCCCCCCCCCACACACACACACGCGCGCGCGCTCCGCGTTCCGCAGCAGTGCCAATCCTACCTTCCTGTTTGAAGAAGTGTTTTGAGACGTCTCAAAACACTTCTTCAAACACGTGGCCAATCCTACCTTCCTTCCTTTTGAGTCGACTCAAAAGTCAATCCTACCTTCCTTCCTGCTCAAACTGTTGAGAACTTCTAACAGCCTGTTGCGAACACATCACTTCACGCCGCTTCCGCTTGGTCAACAAAGACACTCGTGTGCTCTGAGTTCATTGGTCACCTCTACTCCCTCTTCCCCCCTCTACCCCTTTCTGCTCCCCTCTTTTTCCTTGTGCCTCGCCCTGCTCCTTTCGGCTTGCCTCTGCCCCCCTCCTCCTCCCGCCATGCAGAGGGCTGCGCGCCCCTGTCCGCATGGCAGTGTCTGGATGTGACAGGCGGTGTGCTGCGGGGGCTGAAGCACATCCAGAGCCATGGGGTCGTGCATGGCCGCATACACCCACGCAACATCCTGCTGGACACTGCGCTGCAGGTGAACTCCCAGCTGCCCTGACGTGCTGAGGGAGAAGCAGGTGAAGCTTCATCTTGCATCTGCCATGCAGGTGATGTGCCACCGATGTGGAGTGACACACAGGTGCAGTGACAGTTAGCTATTCTGCCACGGACACTTTGTTTCTTTGCATACTCCGAATTCAACCCACCCTATCCTGTGAACCATCACCTGCGTTTCTCCCGTCATCCCTGCATTCCTTTCACGCCGCTTTTTGCCCCTCGCCTCCCACACCACTCCATCCCCGTGCCTTCTCCTCAGCCTGTCTTGGCTGGTTGCATGGCCGTGAAAATGGGCGACAAACTCTCATCCATCCCCTCGTTAGGAACAGCACCGCCAGCATCAGAATCAGCAGCTGCATCAGTCGCACTAGCTGTACGGCCACCTGCCAACCATGCATACATGGACCCAATCCTGCAAGCCTCTGCTCGCACCTCGCCCTCCACGGATGTTTACAGGTCCGTGCTGCTCCACTCAACTCAACTCAACGCCTTCTCACGATTTTGTATCTGCTTGGAGAAGTCTTTGCAACTGTGTTTCCCCTATCCACTTGTGACAACTTAAGTTTCCTATTGACACACCTCTCCTGTCTCCTCACGCTCCCCGTCCCCTCTCTCCATCGCCTCCTCTCCTATAGCTTACACAGTACGGTGAACCAGAAGCTGCTAATCTGTTTGAGCCTACTCAGATACAGGAACCGTATATTCTTCTGTTGACTGCACGTGCTTGCTGGCCACACCAATCAAAACGCCTTTCTCTTTTCCCTCCTCCTGCCCCTACTTTCTTCTCCCCCCAGCATTGGTGTGGTGATGCTGCAGCTCATCACTGGACGGCCCGCCTTGATCCCCATAGCTGCAGGCAACACTCGGCAAGGCGGCAGCTCTGGCTCCAGTGGTGACGCCTGTAGCAGCAACAGCAGCAACAGCATCAGCACAGGCAGCCACAGCAGCAACAGCATTGGCACAGGCAGCGACAGCAGCAGCAGTATGAGCAATGGCTTTAGCAGCAACAATTCAGTGCACATACGGGACTGGGTGAGTGTGGTGTGGGCTCCCTGGGGTGTTCTTTTTCTAGTCTCTGCAAAGCTGAGCTGCTGCACAGAATGGCTGTGTGCATTCACGCTCACCGCACAAGGGTTCCCTTTCTCTCTTTTGCCCTCTCTCTCCATGCCAGCGCATCCTGTACCTTCATGTTTCAGTGATTGCTTTTGCCTATGTGGGCCCACGAATTACTAGACTTAGAATGCACAAACCACACCATGCCGCGCCACACCATGACACAAGTGGTCCAAAAATCTCATCCCAAAATTTTTATTCCAGGCACATCACATGGTATCGCGCATCATCACGGCCAACCTGCGAGCGGCCCACCTGCCGTGGGCACCCGATGCCATCGTGCTGCCCATGGTGCGCCTCGGCCTCTCCTGCACCGCCTCAGACCCCCTCTCCCGCCCCACTGTCACCGACCTGCTCCGCTCCATCAAGGCTCTCAAGCGCTCCCTCTCCGCCCTCCCGCTCCCTGCCCTGCCTGGCAACGCGGGGACGAGCAGGGATGGTGAGACCGCTGGTGGGGGCACTGGGGGACAGCTTAGTGGGGAGGATGGGGATGGGCTATCTGGGGGTTTCAGTCAGAATGCGCTTGATGCTAAGCTAGACTGGCTTCTGGAGGAAGAGGACAGTGGCAGGTTTGTGATTGATGTGTAAAGGACCGTTCAAGCGAGATAGGGTCATAGTGGCAATAAGTTGGTTCCTGAGAACTCTCTAAACCAACCAGATGAGTACACCCTCATTCTCGGCCTACGCACAATCGGGAGCAGCGTCTGCAGTGTTGTAGTGCCACTGTGCATGTGGCCGAACCCCCTAATGTTGCCAGGCACACCATGCACCAAGCGCCAAATCAAAACATCCGAAATGGTCCTACACTGTGGCCAAAGAATCCACATAAAAAACACACAAGAAACAGACAATTCCTAACACAGGTTCAAAACACATACAGAATATCTACGTTCGGTAGAAAGGGGTAACGTATGGTAGAGCGAAAAGCAACGGCAGCCAACCACACATGTGAGCGCACTGTACAATTCCTGATTCAGCAACACTTCCTGGCCAGTCAAAGTCAACAGCTGCACTACCAACTTGGCAGTCGTGATTGTGCTTGTAGAGTATGTGCTAGCACCATTATAGGCACGCTGCAGTCATTACAAGCGTTCGGTTCATGTGGAGATTGCGCATGTGGTGAGAATGAGGGTGTATTGGTGGTGATGCAGGCACCCTCCACTCTCTTCCCCACCCACCTCTTTGTCCTTAGTGTCAGAGGTCCACTGGAGATCCCCAATTGATCCTAGGGAAGGGTTACAGGCACGTCGGCCTGGGGGGTTATGGGCGCATTCACCCGCTACACAAACAAGCCCTTTTATCCCAATGGTTAGTTAGTGCTAGGGATTCTGACACTTAGGCACATGCTTGTTAAACTGAGGAATGAATGATGCATTGATGTTGGTTTGGGGTACATATAACAAACCCTAACTTTTGTACCCCCTAAGACAAACCTCACTACAGGCTACAACATTTGACACACCCCCATAGCCTAAGTGAGGGGTGTCTAGCAAAACCAAAAGTGTACGGTCACAAGACCAGTCACAAAGAAACAAAGCTCAAGGTGGATCACAACGTCACCACACACTCTGAGCACAAGCAACAGTGGCCACAAGGCCAGTCCAAGCAATAACAGAGATATATAGAAAGTGTACAAGCAAAGCAAACAGTGAACTCAAGACTAAGTAAGACGAGAACCAGTGTCAACAAGGCCTAACTGCACACAACACCTGTGGTGGTCACAAGGCGGAAGCGCCTTGGTGAAGATGTCTGCAGTGTTGGCCTCGGACTCCACAAACTCGAAGCGAGCCTGTCCACGTCTCTGCAACTCTCGCAGAAGGAAGTACCTGACGTTAATGTGCTTCACTCTGCTCTCCAGTCGCGGCTCTCGACAAAGGAGAATCGATGCCTTGTTGTCAGTGAACAAGGTCGGTGCAGAGCTCGGCCGCTCACCAAGGTCGGCGAGCAAGAACGTCAACCAACGCAGCTCCTGTGCCGCCATGGCACCAGCGTAGATCTCAGCCTCAGCTGTAGAGGTCGAGACCGAAGAGGAGCGCGTGGACCGCCAGGAAACAGCTCCAGAACCCAGGCTGAACAGTATCCATGAGTAGACCTGTGAGTCTCAGCGTCGTCAGCGTAAGAAGAGTCACAGTGACCAGTAAGTACGACAGGCTGCTGCCCTCCAAGAACTAGCCCCACGCCTGATGTCGTCGCTAGGTACTTCGCCACCCTCACAGCTGCTGTCCAGTGAACAGGACGGTGTCTCCCTGGCGCAACAAAGCGTGCAAGGATGCTGAGAGGGAAAGCGAGGTCCGGGCGAGTACAAGTCATCAGGTACATAGGGACCACTAGGCTCAAACGGCTCGTCAGGAAAGGGTCCAGTGAGTCTGTGGTCAACAGCAAGAGGTGTGCGATGTACTGTGGAGTGCTGAAGCCCGAACCGCTGAAGGACCTGCTGCACCATGTGTGACTGTGAGAGTGTAATGGTGCGAGCAACTCTGTCCCTGGTGATCTGCAGCCCAAGGTAATGGCGCAGCTCACCAAGGTCAGTGCACGTGTGTCTCTTCTGCAGTTCGGACTTCACGTCTGCCAAAGCAACCCTGTCAGCAGTGGCGAAAACGAGGTAGTAGACGT